GGCTGTCTGCTGCCCATAGTTTCCTACCATGATAACTGGAGGGTGGGCTAATTCAGGGCAGAGGTGGAGGAGGAGATGAGAGGGAATGTAGGAACCAGAGCTGGGACCATGACATCATTGTGTTTTCTTTCCTGGTGTTGCTTAGAGCGTGTGGCTATGTTTATCTGAAAACCTCATCCTTGCCCATGTAATTCGAACTCAGTTTTAGGGATTCAGCATGTTTTGGAAACCACATATTAAGAATACAATTTGCCTATGTAATCTTTTCCTATTTTTGTGGCACCCAGACAAAAAATGCCAGCACAGGAGTTTTATGTTGAGGGAATAATTCAAATTAATATAACTGTATCTGTAATCCTGGTGGAAAGTCCTTTTTTTCAGCAGTGCAGAAATACCAGCTAAGAGGGTTTGCCCTCACACTTTTGAAGTTCCAGGCCTGCATGGGTTCCCAAGGAATTTTAATCTCCCATTTGATTTGGAGGGGATTTTATGAGCATGAAAGTCTCTGCTCAGTTTTCAGGGCACACGTTGAGGTCTCAGCTGTTCCCTGTGCTGAAGTGTGGCTGCTTTTCTGATTGGGTTGAAATGACCAAGGAGATAATAACGGGGTTGTTGAATTTAGAGTTGGCTGGGAAGCACCAACCTTGCTGCTGCATGAGGGACAATTCTACTCTGGTTGCACAGGCATAACTGCCTCATTTCTGAAACACAGGCATCTGATCTCACTGCGACTTATTGACTTTAATGGAGTTTATTATTTCAATTTTTACAGTGGTGTAAGGTAGAGCAGAGTTTGGCTGGAAGCCAAAATAGTGCTGTCTTGGCAGATGGAGTGAGTAAAATGTGCAGAATCAAACCCATTGCAGGGAAGGTTCAAGTTTTGCAGTACCCAAACCTTTGTTTGTGAGTCCAGGTTTCTTGTATTCCAGGGTGACTAGAAGAGAGCCATCCCTCCCCAGCATGCAGGGCCAGTGTGCAGGGCTACATGCAGAAATGAAGAGTCTGGGGGCTTATTCCCAATTCCCATTCTTGTTGTCCTACCAGCCCTTTCTCCATGCTGTTGGTAAGATACCCTGCGTTGTCAAGCGCTTCTTGATGAGGCCCACGCTTGTCCTATCCAGGGTGATAAAGACCAAACAGAAGGAGTGGGCAAAGCTGTCATTCCTGTGCAGAAGGCCAGCATGTGACCCCTGGCTCATGGTGACACGTTCTGACTGCAGCAGTCTGGGCTTTCAGAGGAGCAGTAGAAGAAAAGAAGAAGAAAAATTTTATCCCTGGTGCCATCTTCCTGAATTTCCTCCTTCAAACACAGATCAAAGAGGTTTAAAGAGGTGATAAAGTATGAAGTTTTGCTTGTAGCTGTAGTAGGAAGAAGGTTATATGTGGTTGCATGAGCAAGTGAGATGAGGGGAAGGTGAGGATATGACCATGCATGTAATTTCCTAATGATTTTTGTTGCTATTGATACATTAATTCCATTGCCACTGTCTCCTCTCTTCCATTCCATTGTCTCTCCTCTTCCCTTGTTGCTGGCAGTGTCCTTCACCAGAAGCAGTTGTGCAGGATATGATCCCTCCCCATCACACCTTATTGCTGTCCCTTTTTGATTTCTTGTGCTTCAAAGCCTGGCATAAGCCCTGAATGTGACCTTTAAAATGCGTTCAAAAGATATTTAAACATTATCTGTAACTCTGCTTAGTCTTGTTATCTGTACAAATGCCCAGTAATATCATAGAGTACTATCATTTTGTACATATATTTAATTATCTCTTGCTTTATATTTGGTCTGATGAATTTTAATCTAGCAGATGCTGTTAGCTGATCACTGTGCTGGTCTTGGATGTGATCTCCCTGTCTTACTGCAAATACAATGTGCTTGTACTTATTGAACACATTGTAATCCACAATGTACAACACAGATGTATTTTTTGGGTGCATGGCACATGGAGAACAAGGGGAGGCACCTGTAAGAGTGGGTCTTAGCTGGTCTCTGGGCTGTGTTTAACTAGTAGCCTTGCACTTGGAAAAGATTTCCTTTATTTGGCAGTCTTTGCTCATTCGTACTGTTCCAATTTGTTTTCAACACAGCCTGAATGTAATTGAATGGCTTCTTTTATTTCAGTGTAAAAAAATGTCTGGTTTACATGCCTCTTGAGGATTAGGCAGTGAATTAAAAGCAAGTGGTTTTAGAGAATCACAAATAATGCTTTAACCTCCCTCCCCACTGAAACCAATGAATGATTCTCTAAATAAACAGATTTTCCTTTGTATATGTTGGGCTGGATAAGACAAGAGTCTTCCCCCCAGCTGGCCCCTTCCAGCCCATGGCTGAGCCCCAGTGGCATGTGAAAGTTATGGTGTGTTTACCAGAGCTCATCCTCTCTAGTAATAGGGAGCTGCTGAATTGCTTCACACATGGGTCACCCAGTCATTGGGGGAGGTTTTATTTTAAGTTTCATAAAGAGTTTAGAGGAGGAGTGTGCCTCTCTGGCTCTTGGACTATTTTTAGTTAATCTCTGTGACTTCCCTGCAGCTCTGCTCCCCTTAATGCAGCTTATACTAATAGGCAGAGGCAGTCACTGGGGACATTAATGACTTGTCTGCTGAGGTCTGTCACTTGCTGGTGACTTACGTAGTAAGGTTGTTGTTTTTCTGCCTGGAGCACTCCAGGATTCTTTATTTGAGCCTCTCTCCTTGCCTCATTGGGGTTGCAATGGACGTTTTAGTTGCAGGTGCACTTCAGGAAACACAGATCTTTTCATAGTTTGATAGGGTGGTTTTTTTTTTACTTCTCACACATGCTTTGTAGAGCTATTTGTTGGAGCCAAATTAGAAGAACTTGCTCTTCTGCTATCCAATGACTCTGTTAGGAGAGAACCAAGCAAGTCTTGTATCATGAGGGTTTAAGTCCAATTCGTTGTATGGTGGGTGACAAAAATACTGTGAGGAGGAGAGGTGCTGACAGTTTGGATGATATGAGTCTTGTAGCTCCTGTGTTACTGCAGTTCTCTTAAAGGGTCTGTCAACAATGCTAGGACTTTTGGATGATTTCCCTTCAGTCAGCTTTTTCTTTTACATTAGCCATCACCATGTGCCTTTTGGGAGAGCATCTTGGGAAAAATTGGGATGCTATAACTCATTCACCCTTAAGCCTACTGGATTTTCTGAATGGCTAATGCTGATTTTGGTTTCGTTTGGGTTTTTTGTCTGTTTATTTGTTTATTTTTTTTTCTAATGAAGAAGTCAGGGATGCATGTCAGAGAGGTTTAATTCCTGTAAGGAGGAACTCAGGCACCAGGAAGATGCTGCAGAAAATTGTCATGGGTAAGCAAACTACTACCTACAGTCTCTGGTTTTGGTCTCTGTTGCCACAGTAACTTCCAGTCCTGCTGCACACTTAACATTGCTTAATTTGATTGCAAAGACCAGACCTTCAAGGAGAAACTTTAAGCTTTGCTTATAGATTGAAATTGGGAGACTGTTGATAAGTTTCCCCCACCATCCCACTCAGCAAGCAGGTACATAACTATGCTGTATTTTACAACTCTGTAAACTCACAGTAAAGCCAGGGCTCAGCTCTCTGGCTCTGAGACCCAGATGAAGTGGATCCACTTACAGTTCAGCTGTTCTGTGTATTCTATGTAGTCTCTTCAAGTTGTAGCTGGAAGTATCTTACTACAAGTTACGTAGCTAATTTTTATCATATCAGGCCCATTTTTACCTTTCATCTTTGAAGACTGTAGAAAAAAACCATGGAAGTGATGCAGAATTGATAAAAATTAAGTACAGAGCTTATAGATGCCAGGTACTGCATTTGATAGCTGTACAAGTCCAGAAAATGTGGAGTAGTACACCTGCACTAAATCATCTTTTTTCATGGGTAAGTGGATTTGATAGCAGTAATGGTTTCAGATTTGCCTGACCTTTAGGGAAGTTTGAATATGAATCTAGACTGGCTTTGAATTAGGCAGTAGAGCTCTTTTGTTGTGTCTAAATGTGAATCCAGATCTAAGCCTTGGGACTTTGGTTCTATATCTTGCCACAGTGGTGGCTAAAGAGATGAAGTAATGTCTGCAAGAGCACTTGAGTGATGTGCACACTCTCAGGTGCTGAACACAAAACACAAAATGCTCTCACCCAGTGATGGAAGTCTGATAAACCAGGGGAAGCAAAGGGCTTGGTGGCAAATGACAGCCATGGTGTGGCAGTGTCATGGGTTAACTCCAGCCAGCAACCAAGGACCCATGTGCCCTGGCTCACTCCCACACCAGTGGGATCAGTGAGAGAATTGGAAGGGTAAAAGCTGGAAAAGCATGGGTTGAGATAAAGATAGTTTAATAGAAAAAGCAAAAATTGTCTATGCAAGCAAACCAAAACAAGGAATTAATTCACTGCTTGCCTTGGGTAGACAGTTTAGCCATGTCCAGGAGAGCAGGGCCCCATCACACATGATGGTTACTTGGAAAGACAAGCACCATCACTCCAAATGTCCCCTCTTTTTCCTGCTTCTTCCCCCAGCTTTATGTACTGAACATGCTGCCATATGGTCTGGAATATCACTGTCCTGGCTCTATCTCCTTCCAATTTCCCATGCACCCACAACTTTCTTGCCAGTGCAGCAGTGTAAAAAGCAGAAAAGCCTTGGCTCTGTGTAAGCCCTGATCAGCAATAAAAAAAAAAAAATCTGTATATTATCAACACTGTGCTCAGCACAAATCTGAAACACAACCCCATACCCATCACAGTGAAGAAAATTAACTCTACCCCAGCCAAACCCAGCACAAGTAGCCTGGGGACCTGGGGGGAGAGCATGTAATTAGAGGGATGTGGCGTTGCCAAGAAACAGATTTGTAGGAGCACTGGGGTAGGATGTATAGGAGGAGGAGTGACTGTGCAAGTGAACGATAATACAAAATGGAGCAGCATAAAAGTGTCATGGGAAAAGAGAAGTGCTGTGTTATCCTTGTGGGTGGAAATTCCAACTCTAATAATAAATGTAGTAGTAGGATTGTACTACAGGAACATCCCCTCCTTCCTTCCCAGGAAATATTAAGTGAGATTAAAGAAGCTGAAAATTTAGGACAGGTATTAATAGAAGGAGATTTCAACTGTCCATACATAGAATGGGTCAGTGCCTCATCAGGATAAGATGTAGCAAGAAAGTTTTCAATGGACTAAGTACACAGTTGCTTCCTAGAACAATTAATCCAAAATCCTACAGGAAAAGATGCTATTTTGGATTTAGCCTGAACCAGGAGGAATTAGTGGCAGAGCTCATTGGTAGCAAGTACAATACAATTAGTTTTAACATCACAGCAGGAAAAAGCAAGGTACGAGTCTGTATGTGGATATTTAGTTTCAAGAGGAATAAGGTAAATATGAGGGTGCAGTTCAAAAATGGAATAAATCTTCATGGAGTCTGGAGGCTGCTAATAACAGTGTCATAGAAGCTAAAAAAAAAACAGTTGTCCCCTAAATTGCCAGTAGAATCAGTAAGAAAATTAGGAAGCATATCACAGGAGATGACTGGCACCTGAGAAATGGAAATCTTGTTCAAATGAAGAGAATGAGGAAGGCTGTAAAATCTATCAGGTCAAGTGTAAAGAGAAAATTTGGTTTTCTGATGAAGCCAAGCTCCTCTGGGTAGTCAGATGCCACAGGGATGGTGAGGATCTCCAGACAGACCTCATAAAAATGACTGAGTGTCAAAAGTGGAGCATACGAGCTCCAGCATAGATAAATGTAAGGTAATCCATCAAGGGAAAATTAAACCGTGCCTTCATGATGCTAAACTCCAGAACCGGGAGTTGTATCTTGGGGAGAGATCTTGGAGTCATGGTTGGCAGCTCTTTGGGATCATGTGTTCAGTGTGCAGTGCCTGTGTGTGGTGGTGAATTGCTGCTGTAGGGTACCTGTGCCAGGGCAGTGCTTGTGCAGCTCAGGACACAGGTAGAGGAGATCCAGAGAAAAGCAACTAAAATGACTGAAAGGATGGAGCAGCTCCTTATGAGGAGAGACTTAATGAGCTGGGTCTTCAGCCACAAGGTGAAATGAGAAGGCAGGTGAGGGGTAGGTGTGTTGAAACTAGCATGTGGTCGGATTAATGTACAGGGATTTTCATCCAACTGAAAGTATTTCCCTGGAAGTAAGAAGGAAAATAAAATAATCGAGCTTAAATTTGTGCTTGGCAGACATCTATGTCCTTCCTATGCTGGGGACCCCAGTGCCAAATGTGAGTACTCAGGTGGGGTCTCATGAGAGCAGAGTAGAGGGGCAGAATCATCTCCCCTGACCTGCTGCCCACACTGCTTTTGATGCATCTCAGGACATGTTTGTCTTTCTGAGCTGTGAGAGCACAGTGATGGGCCATTCTGAGCTGCTCATTCACCAACACCCCCAAGTCCTTCTCCACAGAGCTGCTCTCCATCCATTCTCCATCCAGCCTGTGCTTGTGCTTGGGATTGCCCTGATCCAGCTGCAGGACCTTGCACCTGGCTTTTTTGAGCTTCACAAGGCTCACACAGGCCCAACTCTCAAGTCTGTCCCTCTGGAAGGTCTCTTCCCTCTGGTGTGTTGAACCCACCACAGAGCTTGCTGTCATCAGCAAACCCACTGAGGCTGTGCAAGACAATGTCAAATGCATTGTGCAAACCCAGGTAGATGATGTCTGTTGCTCTTCCCTTTTCCAACAATGCTGTAACCCCACTGTAAAAGGCCACCAAATTTGTCAGGAATCTGACAGCTACGAGATGATGGCAGCTGTTGATGCCTTGCAGCATAATTTGCCTTCTCATCAGTTTTACTCTACACATCAATCTCATGCAAATTAAAATGTTGCTGCTCATATTTCCCTAAGGGACAGAAAGGAAATGAGGATGGAGCTGGTTGGAATAGGGCTGTGCAAAGAGCTCTATTTATCAATATAAGAAGGGCAGGGCATGTAGGATAGTGTGGAGGTAAATGCTCCAGGTTATGTTGAGATAGTGTGTGGAAAGGGCAGAGTGAGAAAGAAGTTCATGGGGAAGGAGTCTCAGAGTCCTGGTGTGGAGCTGGCTGGGGGAAAGCAGGAGGGTGTATTCTGGAGATAATTTTACTACATTTGAAGACGCCAGTATTGTGGGAATTCAGGACCATTCACTTCCACACTAGAGTGCAGTTCATACATATCATGTACGTGGTTGTGTAGTAAGGGGGCATTAGCTGATTCCTTGATAAATTAGGATTTTGGTGCTTGGTTGGTACTGGGTGTTCTAGAGGCTCCTAAAACAAACTGTTTTGATGCTTAGTCAAGTCTGGAAAGCAAACATATGAATGTTGCCTAATGCTGAAGCCATGAGAAGTCTGCCCACTCCCAAAACTAATTTTAATACAGATAGAAAAGCAATTTCTTGATGAGAAAGCTCTTAATAGAGTGTGTTGATAGCAAACAGCCAGGAGAGGGTCATGGGCTCTGGTGCAGCTAAGCAACCATGCTGGGAAGCAAAAGGAGGCTGTGTTATGAAGGCTTGTGCAATGGCTGGGTCAGGGGTGGGATTTAAGGATGTCCAAGGCCAAATGATGGAAGAGACCCCTTTGGTAGGTGGCTGTTTAGCTGGTGGATGGCCTCAGGGGTTGCTTTTTATATAAAGCAGAAATGCAACACTCCTGGCCACTGCTGGTGTGGTGTTGGAGTCAGCTTGGAGCTCCTTGGCCAACCACTGCAAGAGAGAAAGAAGAGGTGTGGGTGTGCCTGCTTTGTGATCCGTGTTACAGTGCTCTGAAATGTGTGTTCAGGCAAGAGGTATTTAATTTCCCACTTGTCTGTCCCTGTGTTTGATCAGAGGACTTGGAGTCCACCAGATCAAGCAGGCAGGGATGGAAAGCCTTCAGGAAACTCAGCATTTTCCCTTGGCTTCCCCTGTTGTTTTCACTTTCTTTCTCTCAGTGGCAGTAATTTTTATTGGCAGCTCTCACTCCCTATAAGGGCTGAAATTCTGAGGTTGGGAATAACCTTAGAATCTGTAGGAGTCCAAATTGGATGTCCACATCTCCACTGAGGGGGTGGAGCCTCCTAAATCCCTGTAACCTGTGTGGTGTGGCTGACCTTGGACTTCAGGTCTGTGGTATCTGGCTGCCTGTAGACCTTTGTCAGCTGTCTGGTTTTCAGTGGAAACCCTCCTGTAAGAGTCAGCTTGCTCAGAATAAACTAATGAGTCATGCAAGCCTGGAATTTCTTTCTGCCTTACCTTAGCACCAGGTTGTCACACAAGCACAGCTTTCCCAGATAAGGTTTGCTCTGGCATCTCTTCTCTCATGCGAATCTTCAGGTTTTTTTGGCTTCTCTGAGCTGCCTTGAGAAATGCAGACAAAAATACAGCTCCTATGGGTGCAGAGGGTATTCCCTGTCTGCTGCTGCTGGTTCCTGCATGGACCTCTACACACCCCAGGACAGAAATGCTCCTTTGTGCCTTGCCCCATGTAGGCTCTGTGAGTCCGCCTGTGAGCAGTGCTTGGATGAACCCTGTGGTGGGTGCCTCTCATCCCACGGTGGAAATCACACCAGGGTCCTGCTCTCTGGGATGTCTCATGGTCTCTCTATTTTTGGGAAACAGTTGTACCAATGAGAGTTTGAAGACTGCAGCGTGCCTCGAATCTAGGACGTGTTTGGCTCTGGCAGGGAGATGGAGGCTGGTTTGCTTTTCAGCATGGGGATGACGTCCTCTGCTCATCCCTGGAGCTGTTCCCATTCAAAGCCCCTGCTCTTTTTGCAGAGACCATCCCACCCTGGCTTTGTGGAGAGCTCTAGACTGCCTCAAACACAGGCATGCAGCAGTGTAACCCCTCATCTCCTAACCATGTCCTAACCTTGGGGAAGGATTGTCACCCTCCAGAAAGCTGTGTACCACAGTATCTATTTATATAGAGCCTTCCATTGTGGATGCTTCTTACTCATCTGACTTTACTTTTGGAGGCAGTTCTGCCATTACATTTCAGGCCCAATTTTTGGTTAACTCTGTAAGCTGGTAATGGCCCCACCATGAAGTCATTTGGATACAGTGAGAAAAGGTCTCATGGAACTGAAGATTTCACCTGAGGTGGAAGCAACAACATAAATCCATAGGATTTACACTCTGAAATCCTGTGAGGGGTACAGCAAATCTACGTTTCTTTATGCCTTGGAGCCCAGACTGTTACATGAAATGGTGCCTCTGGTCCGGGTGCAGTGAGTGGGGAAATATTTAAGTACTTGGTATCCTCTTAAGGCTACACAGGAACTACAGGCAGAGAGACAGAATTGGAAATGTGATCATAGTATCTAGAATTGTATCTGATGACTATACTCATCCCAGACTTTGTACAAGACTTGCTTTGTCTGTCACAGATATTATCGTGCTTATCTCTGGGTTGTGGCAAGAGATGTAAAACTTTCTTTCTTTTTTTTTTTTTTAAATGGGAGGACAAGGGCAGTTTAGTTAGCCAAATTTTAATGATCCAGAATTGGTTTCACCAAGACAGAAGAGACTGGTGCCAGCCAGTGTAGCACTCCCATTCCCTGTGGAGCTGAGCAGATTCACACTAAATCAGAAGCCTGAAATGTGCTTTCAGTAGAGAAAGTGTTAGTAATCTTGGAAGAAAATGATTTTCTGCCCTTTTTAGAAATAGAAATTCAGCTATGCTGTTCTGTGCAACACAAGTTTTGTCTTGCCAAGCCTGAGCTTTCAGCTCAATTCCCCAGTCCTGGAGTTAGTGGTAGGAGATGGACACATAGAAAAGTCCTGGACTCTCCATCGTTCTGTATTTGGTGCTGCTGACTCTTGCCCTTGCTGAATCACAATGACACATCTGGCAGACCTTCACCTGAATGGTGGTTCATAAGCTTAGGTCTCTGGGGATGGATGTATTTCATTCGTGAAAAGGCAGCAGTATTTCCAAAGGGGAGAGAATCTCCAGAGACTCCTCTGCCAGTTCATCTGAGGTAGGTTTTAACCCCAGCTCCAACTTGGCCTTGGCCCCCTGAGATGAGATTTCTTTGCTGAACCTATTAAAAGCCAGATTAAGATCTCTAGCAGAGGTCATTTAGAAAACAGTGAGAGAATTCTAAGGAATACTTGTTTTCCTCTCAATCCTCAAAACAATCTGGGGAATGCGTTCAGAGTCAGTTTCTGAACTTAACCCTCTCATCCCCAGGGAAAATAATTCAGTGAGCTGCCCTTGTACCTGGGATGGGGTGAGCTGGAGCCCAGCTCTAACTTCCCAAGCCATGCTGATTTTCTGGAGTGCACAGCAGGCTTTGTGTTGTGTGGGGGTTATGCCACGAGGAGATGGTGACTAAACCTGATGGGTTTGCAGTTATATAAATTGGCATCAGCCTATGCTGTTGTGTGCAGGGATGACTCAGAGGCAGGAGCTGATGCCGGGGATTGGCAGCCCCGGGGCAAAGCTGATGGATCCGTGTTGGATCTCCTTGGGTGCCCCTTCATCTGCCATGGGTGCTGGGGGTGCTGGCTTCTCCTGCTTTATGGAGCAGGGAGCTTCAGCACTGAGCCTCTGGGGTTGCACACAACTCAAACAGTGAGTCAGCATTAGGTGGAACTCCAATGTTGTGTGTGTGGGCTGTTGAAATCCAAATGATAGGAAAATGAGCCTGTCTTTCCACAGTGGTGAGTCCACTGCTGTCTGTGGGAGGTGGGATCATGTTTAGATGCAATGATAGAGGATGGACTAGAACTGGAACTCAACTGTGAGCCCTGTTAGGCCTAGGAACCAGGCCAAAAGCTTGGAGTGCCTTGGGTTCTACAAGGAGATGCCTATTAATTTCATTCTAAAATCAGCTGTATCAATTGCATTCTATCCATACAAATGAGAAATGTGTGCAGAACAGTCTCTCTCTTTTTTTTTTTTTTTTTTTTTTTTTCAAAGTCAACTCTTAGTACATTTTACTCCTTAGTTTGTTCATACTCTAAATTAGTATGCATTGGTGTTCTAAAATGGGAAGCCAACTCCATCAGAATCTCATAAAGGAAAAGAATTCTTTGTACCACTGAGAAAGATTTTGCTGGTAAGACTCCTTTCTATCAAGAAAAGAAAAAAAAAAAGAGAAAAACAGAAGAGAATGTTTTACCTGGGACTTAGTGTGTTCGTTTATGTCAATGATCAATATTCAGAACTCATGCCTCCAAAACTACAAGATCTCAAAAAAACATTTGAAAATCTAAACTTTTATTATTCAAATTGACTTTCTAGGTTATGGAACTTAGATTTCCATGCTTGAATTTTCCTTTTTTCAGAGGGGATCAGGAGCTTGAAAAAAGAAAGGCGCATGCCATCCCACTTTCCCCCACCTGCTTAGAAAGCTTTGCTGGAAGGCTCGCTCTGGGAGCCAGGGCTTTTGGAAAAGGACCAGGAATCACAGGAGTGGGCAGTGCTGGCACTGCCTCAAATCCCCTGCTAATAAACACACCAACTGAAGCCAGATGGTAAAAGTGCATTTTTATCATGATTTATGTGGATTAATGACTGCAATAAACATTTTTTCTCCTTTATATACGTTCAGGGCAGCATTTGTGCGACATCTAAGAAAATTTAGTGAGCTTTCTCTGGTTTTCCCAGTGCTGCACTCAAAGACTGACTTTGTCTGATCTGCCTCAACCTCCTCTCATATTTGCCATTTGTATGAGCAGTAAGACAGTGGCTGCTGATCCCTGCGGGGTCTGGTTTTCCTTTGATGTGTCTGTGGCTCCTTCCACATAATAAGAGTTATTAGTGCATTTGGAGGGGATTAGTTAATGACCTGGGGTGCTCAATCCACAGGGCCACAGATTGTCTCTCGTGACAGCTGCACTTTCTGAAGTGCTTTTGTCTTCATTAAGTTTCAGTGTGTGGTAATAAGAAGTACTACTGCCCCTGTTTCAAGATGGGCAGCCTGAACTGTTGCCTGTTAGGTGGGTAAATAACGTGATCTGCTGCAAAG